GGATTCATTCTCAATGCTCCTTAACTTCATTCAGAAGCTATTTAGTCACTAAGTAATTTTCCAGATTTGTCTAACAGACTTTTATATGTCAAGTGTGCAGTGTAAACACTGGCTCTTTGAGGAAGGAAAAAGAAAAACAGGAAAATCTCTGTCACAGACTTCACTCCTAAACCCTTGTCTAGTCAGCACTTTAACTGTTGCCCAATGTTACACCACAGTGGTGCAACATTTCTCAGATTATCTTGAGAAAGTCTTGGGTACTAGGGATAGATTTCAAAGACTGTCCTGTTTGTGCTGGCTAATGAGAAGTTAAAGATCTGCCCATACTAAGGGTATTTTGGTAACTCCTTCAAGAGGCCTACTCCATGTTTGTGTGAGATTTTAAGACAATGGATCACGCATGGTCTGGTATTGTTTTCTGCCTCCTTTTGTCTCTTTTACTTTCCCTCTAATTAGGGAGGTACAGTAGAGTCAGATGGCTGCTCTCTTCCAGACTTTCCCAATTAGTAGACTTTCCTGGCTGAAAACTGGAATTTCCGCTAGAAAATTTTGATTTATTATTTTTTTTCGTGATTAGAATAAAAAGCCAAAATTTCCTGTAGAATACAAATTCTTAAATATTTAAATTTGGAACGATCAAAATTTTTTGTTTAAATTTTGAAAAGGTAAAAACACTATGTTTTAATAATGTTGATTCATTGTAGATTTTATATTATATTAAAATATAGTATGTGTTTTATATCTTAAATATTATATAAATATAATTGTGTAATTTTACTGTATTATAGAAGTTGTGACGGGGCAAGGCCAGATGGCTATAGAAAAGTAGTGGGAGATAGATATATTAGCTCCAGGCCAAACAAATCCCTGGTACCAGGTTAAGTGAAATGGAAGCTGCTCCAGGTCAATTAAGACACCTGGGGCCAATTAAGAACTTTCCAGAAGGTAGGGAGAATGCTAGGTTGATTGGGACACCTGAAGCCAATCAGGGGCTGGGTTAAACTAGTTAAAAGCCTCCCAGTCAGTCAGGTGGGGGTGCATGTCAGGAGCTGTGAGAGGAAGTTGTGCTGTTGGAGAGGCTGAGTAGTACACACCATATCAGGTACAAGGAAGGAGGCCCTGAGGTAAGGGTGAAGTGGAGCTTGAGGAAGTGAGGGCTGCTGTGGGGGAAGTAGCCCAGGGAATTGTACATGTCATGTTTCTAAAAGGTCAGCTACCATAGCTGATACTATTAGGGTCCCTGGGCTGGAGCCCGGAGTAGAGGGTGGGCCCGGGCTCCCCCCACACCTTTGCCCCCTGATTAATCACTGAGACTGGGAGACAACCGAGACTGTGGAAGGAAGGATAACTTCTCCTCACCTCCCTCACTGGCTTATGATGAAAATGGCGTAGTAGACTGTGACCCGTGTCTCTAGAGAAAGAAGGGTTACGCGGAGGGTCACAGTAAGCCTCTGAGGCTAGCGAAATCCGCCAGGAAACGCGGGACCCACGGAGACAAGGACAGAGCTTTGTCACAAAGTCTAAACAAAATTAATCAAAGTGATAAAGTCAAAGTAAAGCCTTTATCTTGCTGAAATGAAACATTTAGTCATTATTAAAATCAAACAAGAAAGTTGGGGAAAAAAATCAACTTTCTCCCATCAAAAATGTAATCAAATTCACATGTTCCCATGATACATTTTGATTTTGACTAAACTTCATTTTTTGACAGAAAACTGTTTTGTCAAAAAAAAAATTCAACCAGTTTTACTGATTAGTTAGTTTAGCATCTGCCCCATTTTCACCAAATACAATAGGAAAATTGTCATTTAATTGCAATTTGGGGCTTTTCATTCCCTCTGGGAGCTAAGTTTCCCCTCTATTTGTGGACTATAAACCTAATCTTTCCATATTAAATTTGTGTTTTGAGATAATGAAAGGTCCTGTTATCCCTTCATTTAAGTTTACGTGGCTCATCCCAAATCTTTACTCAGCCCAGACCACTTAGGAGCAAAAAAAAAAGCTTCCAATTTCACATGGAGTTTCCAATCTCTTAGATCCAGATTCTGACCCCCTGGCACATTTGAGTAGTATCATAGAGATCACCTTAAGTAGTCCAATTGTCATCAAAACAAGATATACCAGACAAACAAAATTGCAGTTAAAATAGCAGGAGAAAAACAGAAAATTCAGAACTTTCGCAATCACATTATTTATGCAACATCTGGGTGTTTTAATAAATTACTGTCTTTGATTTTTCTTCATTTTCAATTCCTGCTGATGAAAAAAATTCTTAATAAAGTTATTTACATTCTGCCTCTTTAATCTTTCTTGGATCCAAAGCGCTATTTAAGAAGAAGAAGAAAAAAACCCTTTCCTCCTGCAGCTTTGCTCAATCAGCTTTTACCTTTTTAATTGATGAAACTTTTCATGTTGTGCAGTTCAGATTTCAACCTAGCAAGGGTCTCTGTTTTCTTAATCCTCTTTGGTTCTTTCTCAGGGTCCTTAGAGTGGAAAAAAAGTCTTAATATCACTTTTTAGTTAAAATAGATAGGAGAATTTCCTCTCCACTTCTAGCTGCAGGAAAAAGGTTTTCCCCTGGGTATTCTGACTCTCTTAATTATGCTCCAAAATTTGAGTCGGGTTTTTGCTGCTCAAACTAATTTTGCTTTCCAATAATTAGAGATAGCATGGTATCCAAGAAAGTGTTTGAAAATTGTTCTTGTGGTGTGTAGTCAAGAATGCATAACTGCTGCTGCCTAGTGAGGAAAAATGACAAATGCTCAGAATAGAAGATGAGAGAAGCTTAGCAGGAGCAAGATAAAGAGAGGGAACTGCTTTCTCACTCTAGGACTGACTGATCTGCTTCATTTGCAAATATCATGGAACTGCCAGCCATGCCTAGTAGCTATGTGCAGTAAGTGTAGATGTAGTATGTGGCATTTAGTGAAGATGAATTTGCAATAGCAGAGGTTCTCAGTCAAAATTCAGAGTTATTGAAAGATTTTTTTCTCTCTAATCTGACGTTTATGATCAGTAAAAGATGTTGATAATGTAATGGTGGATCTTCAGAGCTCCCTTCTTCAAAGTCCACCCTCCTTTTCTCAGCTCATCATCCATGTGAGAGGGTGCCTCATCTTTCAGTGTTCTCTGAGGTCTTCTGCAGCTCATCCCAATGATCTCACCTGAAGGGGACCCAGTGGAGCCAGCCAATGACCAATGAGTTTCCTGTCAGGGTCGAGAGGTAGTACAGGGAGTCACTACTAGCTGAAACTCATTAGGTGTAGGTGAGCCCATTTAGGCTCAGCACCCTGAAGAAAGGAATGCTGGTCTGAAGGTGTGCACTGCCCAGGAAAAGGAGATGTGGGAAAACGTACCCGCTCCCCAGGGTGGTTTGTACTCTTTGAATGTATTTCTTATAAAATTGCATAGAAGCTGGAGACTTTTGTCAAATTATAGTCAATTTTGGTTAACCAGAACTCCTGCCACAAAACCCTATCTGGACAGGGTGAGTTTGTGTTCCAGGTCAGTCTTATGAGTCAGAGATCACATGTATGAGGTGTTCCATGCTCTGAAAGAGACTTGTCTGGATGGAAGCAAGGAATGGCTAAGCCCTATTCTGTACTTGAGAACACTGGCTCTGGGGAGACTGCATGTAGTAGCTGCTGCTTGTGAGCACATTTGTTTAGCACAACTTGCATCTGCCTGATTTACTATTCTATAGGCAGAATCTTTCCAGCAACAGCTGTCCAGATAGTGTGTCTTGATGACCCCCTCCAAGCACTTCCCCAATATAACAGTGGTTTTAGATCACTTTAATTTTAATAACTATCAGGCCCTCCCAATTCCATCCTCCTTAGGCACAATCCAGCTATTCAGATCTGATTTAGAAAAAAATCTTTAATACAGTAAACCACATTCTGCTCTCAATTATCCAATTAATTCCATTAAATCTATTTTGATCTTATTTCTGTCAACAGTTCTAACATATTCTGTACCAGGTCAAACCAGCAAGCTAAACTGCAAAACTCAGATCCCTGACCGATAAAATATGCATTGGCTGATCAGCACAGGTCAAAGGTTACAACAGAACTCAGCAGTAGGGAACGATGCAAACAAGGCATTAAGCATTAGGAAGTTACTTTCATTACTAACTAGAGTAAATGTAATTTATGCAATTTGTAACACTTTTATTCCAATTGACAGTTTTCTAATCTGGGTCTGAAGACTGAGATGGGGATGGGAAGTGCTAAACCAGAAGCCAGTGCAAATAAACTTTATTTTAAAATATTTGGGAACTTAAAATAGAAATGTGAGGAGTGGGGAGAGGTTGGATACTGAGTTGGAATAAGGTAAAAATGTTAAGAATTTGTTTCACGTGACTCTCTTAGAATGATAAACTGAATGAATAATGACTTGAATTTGAATAGCACCTTTAATTTAGAAGGAACACAACGCTCTTCACAAATGTATCTAAGTCTGTTTTCAGGGAAAACACCATTGACTACTAAAATGCCATCTCTTCTGTAATATTATGCAATTGTTTAGGTCAGGAGATTGAAGGACTAACACCCTGAACCTGATTCGTTTATTGGTTGTGACAAGATTATCATCCACAAATCTGGACTCCCTAAACTCATGCAGACTTCCATTGACTTCAGTGGAACTCTGCACAGGCTCAGAGGTCTGCACGAGGGAGATTGTGGATGGAAGATCAAAGCCTAATACTGTATCCACCTGAAACAGCACAGGAAATTTAGGACCAATTTTACACTATCTGTCTGGTCGGGCTGCTGTACCTGCATGGAGCCCCGTTGATTTCATGAAGTTCAATGAGGGTGCAGTAGTCCACCTAAGCACCTCATGTTGCAAGAATGGGGCTTTAGATCAGCAGAATATAATTTCCCAAATTCACCTTTTGATGAGGAAATTGGGGTGAACACCCCTACTTTTGTAAAAAGGTACCATGGAAACTTCAGCTACCACAGATGTTCCTGAACTTGGTTTCTCCTATCTTACAGATGATGTATCCAGTAGCATCGAAGGGCATTGGTTCTGTAGAACACCAGAAAGAAGACTGAGAACTTTCTAACTAATCATTGCCACTTCTACTGCACCTAGCTTCTCCAATATGGACTACCATCCAACTACTGACCAGGTCTGAACCTGATTTGTTTATTGGTTGTGACAAGATTACAGCCTAAGGTAACATAGCTAAAATAAATAGTTTAAAAGTGTTTATATCACAACAATATCATTCCTGCAGTGCATATATGAATTAATAATTTTTCTTATTTGAAATCTTAGCTACTTAGTACTTTAGAGAACTGTAGTTTTCCAAAGCCACAGTTTAAGATGGTGTTATTTGCCTTTGAGTAGATAATGATTTGGCTGTTTCAGCAGATGGCTTTTCTTTATTTTTAGACAATTCTCTTTGTAGTTCTGTTTGGGAGGGGAGGGGGATAATTTTCCCCCTAGAACTGTGTCATTTCAAATTATTGCTCCTTTTACAAATTGTGAGAAGGAACTTGAAAGGACTTAGGAAGATTCACTGAAAACATTTTTTTCCTTCTTCTGGCCTTCTTCAGTGTCTAGACAACACTGAAATTATTGTTTTAAATACATTTTTTTCTCCTTGCTCCAGTCATGAAGGGGGGAAACACATTTATTCCTAAAATGAAATTGCTTTTAGGTAGCTAATCGCTCTCCCACAACCAATCTTCAGCTGAGAGAGACAGACAGTTTTGGAGATCTCTCTAAGGTAAACAGTCCCAATCTCTTCTCTCTTAGAAGATGAGTTTGTCCATGCTCTTAATCTTTCTCATTGCCCATGTCTGAACCCCTTCTAATTCTACTATATCTTTTTTGAGATAGGATGAAGTGAATATGGTATTCCAGGCAAGGAGGACTGATCTTATAAATATGGCATCATATTTTCCATAGTATTCCCCCATCCCATTACTTGTGCATCCTAACATTGTGTGTGTTTGTCACAGCTGCTGCACATTGGGCAGAGGTCTTGATTGAGCAATCAATCCACTATGGTGCCAAGATCTTTTTTTCTGACTTGATACACTTAATTTAGAATCTTGCGTTGCAAAGGTTCAAATTATTCCCTCCACACTCAACCTGTGGAACTCTTTGCCAGAGGATGTAGTGAAGGCCAAGACTATAACAGGATTCAAAAAAGAGCTATAAGTTCATTGAGGATAGGTCCATCAATGGCTATTAGCCAGGATGGGCAGGATGCAAAACCATGCTCTGAAGTGTCCCTACCCTCTGTTTGCCAGAAGCTGGGAATGTGCGATAGATCACTTGATTACCTGTTCTGTTCATTCCCTCTGAAGCACCTGGCATTGGACACTGTCAGAAGACAGGATACTGGGCTAGATGGACCATTGGTCTGATCCAGTATGGCCATTTTTATGTCCAATGTGAAAAAATTTTAAAATTGGAAGCACTGAATTTCATCTGCCTTCATTTTGCCCATTCAGCTAGTTTGGTAAGGTCCCTGTGTAGTTCCTCATAGAGTTCCTCACACTTTGAGCTGGAGCTGTAAGTTCCAGCTCAAAGAGACATACTTGTGCTAGCTCTGATTGAACTAGTGCACTAAAAATAGAGTATAGCTGCAGCAGCGGGAAGAGCTAGCTGCCTCAAGTATGTAGGCATCCAATGTACTAGGCTACATTCTATTTTTAGCCCCCCAGCTTGATCAGATATAACACAGGTATGTCCCCTCAATCTGGAATTTACACCTTCAGGGACAGACATACCCATAGCCTTCTCTAGTCTTGGCTGTCCTCAATAATTGTGGTGATCTGTAAATTTTGCCATCTCACTGCTTTTCCCAATAATTGATTAAACAATTCTTCCCTGTCCAGATCTTTGTGTCACTTCAATCTTCACCTTTTGCCATGATTTAAATTGACCATTTATTCCTATTCTTTGTTTTCTGTCTTTCAGCCAGTTTCTATTCCATCACAGTAAATTGCCTCTCACCCCATGACTACTTAGTTTCTTTAGCAGTCTCTTTTGGGAAACTTTGTCAAAGATGATTTGAAAGTCTAAATAAATTATATCAACGAGTTCCCCTTTCCCTGAGATACGTTTTATTTGTTTTGTTGACACTTTTAAAGAATTCTGATAGGTTGGTGACACACTATCTTCCTTTGCAAAAGTCTTGCTTGTTAAACTCTATAATATCATGATCTTCTAGACACTGTATAATTTTGGTTTTAATGATCACTTTCACCAATTCACCAGTTCTGATTCTAGAGATAAGAATTATTCTAAAGAAAAGAATGATATTCAGAGGGTATTAAAATGTGTTTGGAAAGGAATAAAGTTTTTTTTTTTAAAAAAAAAACAAGTCAATCTTCTGTTTTTTGGGGCAACAAATAATTTTCATATATTGCAGAATTTTATTGCATTTCTATGGTGAACTTTTTCTCTGTGAATAACTCAAGCAACCAAAGTAACTGGAGTCTGGTGGCCTCCATCTCAGAAAATTACAAGGCAGTTATGTGTAGTTCAGTGTCACTAGCACTATTACTTACATGTGTAGAATTCTCCTGACATCCCATTTGGTGGAAAGGTACTTTGGTTAATAGTGAAGTGACCCCTGATGCTGAGCTGTAGGTCTCTATTTTTATTGCACTCTCTGCGTATTAAAGTTTGTTAAAGGATTCTAGAAAATCAAGGGTGTCAGAGCCTTTCCAAAAGTGGGGGGAGGGCCCAGAGGCTCCTGCCCCCTGAGGCCCCACCCCAGCCTCCAAGGCCCTGACCCATCTCTTTCCCCCAAAGCCCTGCCCCTGGCCAAGCCAGAAGCCAGAGCTGGGGCAGGGAGTCTGCCCTCCCCACCTGTGGGGGTCCCTAATAGCAGCCCCCTGCCTGTGTCCCTGACCCCGGGCCCTCCATCCAGGGCAGGGGGAGGGACCTGCTCCCCATAGCTGCCTGCACAGCTCTCCCCGACCAGGCTCCAGCAATGGTGGGGGAGCTTGGAGCTGCAGCCTGGCCATAATAAGATGCACGTAAGGCTGGGCAGCTGTGGGGAGCCAAGGCAGACCCTCCATCTGCTGCAGTGCAGGGGGCTCAAGGAGAGCAGCCCCCGGCCTATGTCCCCACCCCGCGCCCAGGGTAGAAGGAGGGGTCTGCGGTTCCTCATAGCTTACCATGGCCAGGTTGAAGCTCTGAGGGCCGCTCCCCCACTCACCCCAGCCACAGCTGGGTCAGGGAGAGCTGCATGGGCAGCTGTGGGGAGCCAGTGCAGAGTTAAGGACTCTCCACCTCCATCTGCGCTGGGGGATGGGACTTGGGGGAAAGAGGAGGGAAAGGGGGTGGGGTCCTCCCGGGCAAAAAGTGGATGGGCCTTGGCCCCTCCAGTTCTGGTGCCACTGTAGAAAACAGTTATAAAACCATGCATTATTGTGCTGGTGCTAAAAGACTTTCATATATTTATTTCTTTAGACAAACTATTTCATCAATCAACATAACTGTTGGTTTACTGAGCCTTGAAGGCCAATTTGGTTGAAATGTCAAATGACTAATGGAATGGTGTATCTGATGAAATAAATATATGCAAGACTTTTAAAATAACAAACAAAAATTCACTAGATCCCATATTTCCCTCCATCTCCTATTACATAATGTTTGCCATTAAAATCTTTACCATTTTCTCTTTGTAAGTAGATAGTAACTGTGATATTCACAGTATTCCCTAAGTTAATTGGGCTAAACCCTTAGTCCTGCTATGTATTTTTCCAGAGGTTCTCTGCTCCCCTTTTCTCCACCTAACACTCCTCTTCCTGTTTGCAAATATCACAACCTCCACATATTACTAAGAACTCTGCCATTGACTCATTCCCTGGGTTTGTCCAAGAAATAATTCTCCATACCTCTTTTTCCCTTTCTCTTGAATGGGACTGGTAATACTTGCGCAAGATCTGTAAAGCTCTTTGACATCCTTAAATGGACCATAAGAACAGCCTTACCCGATCAGACCAGTGGTCCACCGAGCCCAGTATCCGGTCTTCTGACAGTGCCCAGTGACAGATGCTTCAAAGGGAATGAACAAAACAAGGCAATTTCAAGTGATCCATCCAGTCCCAGCTTCTGGCATTTGAAGGTTCAGAGACAGCGAGAGCATGACGTTGTGTCCCTGACCATCTTGACTAATTCCCATTGATGGATCTATCCTCCAAAATCATATCATATCTTTTTTTTTAACCCATTTATACTTTTGGACTTCACAACATCCTCTGGCAATGAGTTCCAAAGGTGGACTGTACATTGTGTGATTAAGTATTTCCTTTGGTTTGTTTTACACCTGCTACCTATTAATTTCATTGGGTGGCCATTAGTTCTTGAGTTATTTCCTATTCTTGTGAATTTCCCACTCACTTTCTCCACACCATTCATAATTTTATAGACTGCCGTCATATCCCCCTGTAGTTGTCTCTTTTCTAAAATGAACAGCACCAGTCTTTTTATCTCTCCTCATATGGAAGCTATTCTGAACAATGCTGTTCATTGTGAGTAGTCATTGTCATCATCATTATGGTCATCCTCGCATTATGGACAGAGAGAAGCAAAGATGCTTGTCTTACAGCTGCTTTATCCTAAACTTACCTTTTACCATTGCAGCTAGGTTACATAACACTCTTACCAGGCTTTCTAAGGATCCACAGTGAGGCATTATGCATTTATTCCCTGTGTAATTTCTGTGTAATTTCACAGCTGTACCTTGAAACAAAATATGCATTTATTTTATCCAATCTGAATTCAATCAAGCTGCTGCACGTTGGGACATACTGCCTGTTATCTTTACTGAACATTGCATTATTTGTCTTTTATTTGTACAGAAAAATGGGAATTAATTGTTGAGTACTGGCCTGATAGAGAGAAGATACTGGTTCAGAGAGAGCAATCCCCACACAAATTATTCTGGTGTTGCCTACAAGTAGGCTGGATACTGAAAGAGGCAAAGATGAATAGGGCAAGGATAGGTTAACATTTGACAGAAAACATAGACAACTATAAAGGGTTAAAAGCTATACTTACCTCTTTGAATGGCAAAGGCCCTGATCCTTCATACACTTATGCATATGTTTAAATTTACTCAAGTGAGGAGTCTCATAGACTTCAGTGGAACAACTCACATGAATAAAGTTAACATGTGTTTAGTGTATTGGTATAAATAACAACGC